AAGAAACAAAGGACAGTAAGGAATGTCTTTGCAGTTTTAAAAAAGAGTAACATTATAGACACATTAAGCACATTGTCCTACCTCCAGCAGCCAGATGGCTAGCACAAATTACAATTAGCACGACAGCAAACAGCATCTTTAGAGCAGAGGTATTAAATACGTGTGCTTGACAAACAATTACGATTCTATCGCTTTATTTTTTATGTTAGACCATCGTACATTTCTTATCTTTCATGAAATTCTGATAAGCTCTTGCGTATTTCCCCCATACTGTTAAGGCAGAAATTATAGAGGGCGCTAGTTTAGGTTAGTTATAGTATGGAGGAAATCCTACATGGTTATAGGCGCATGATAAACCCTCAAGATCGCGAAAGCATTGTTCAGTTGACCTGTAAATATTTCTGAGTATGAAATGCGAAGTGAAATGTTATCTCATCTAATTTCATATGTTATTTTCTACCTTTCTTTAATTTTGTAATATTATTTACAGTCGATTGTTATTCATTTTGTTTGTTAAATTTCCCCCCTTTTTTTTTGTTTGTTTGTTTGTACGAACGCACCAATTGATATTGAGTGCCACCGATTCAAAGGTGTATGTTCAAATAAATAAGTATGTTCAAATAAATAAATAAAAATAAATTGTTCGAGCTGCCTGTGTGGATGAACGAAAGGCATATGAAGTCTACGGGTGTATGTAGTCCAAAATATCTTGGTAGAGAGAGTATAGTCGACACAGTGAAATTTAGTGAACTAACATAACGATGATAATAAGAATGACGACGACGATGATGAATATTGCAGTGGCGTAACGCCTATGCGCTCTCGTGCGGCGATCCTCATGGCCCCCGACCCTTATGTTCCTCGATCTATCACCCTGACCAAAAAGGTTTTGTTGATACATAACAGCATAATGTGTCTCTCACATCGATTGTGTAGGACACATATTATATTATATCCAGTAAAGGGCGCCGTGCCGGCGCCCTCAAGTCCAAGTGTAGGAGTATACTGAAGAAGAAGAATATGATGAAATGATGTAAAAGAAGATGAAAATAAAATAATAATTATTTGCAAACTTAAAACTTTCCAATATTGTTAAGCTTATACTTACGCTACAGAGGGCGTGATTCCAAAATTGATTAAGTGCAGCCAGGTGAAACGTCCATCAATTCTAAGAACACAAAAAGAGGCCAGTTTGTAGTGTGACTTGCGAAGAGGCAACGCCAGTGTTAATGTTCAGTTGTTATGAGTTCGTCAATGTATAGAAAACAACTACTGGACGCGTTCTGAAATTTAAAACTATTATTTTTGTACCGGTACTGTTAAAGATGACATTCTTCAGTAAAACGTCAACGCTTCTTTTAACATGCTTTTTAGGATTTTTAGCCCTTCTGTTCAACTGCATTGCTATGTCAACAAATTATTGGACCTCGACAAATTTTTCAGGATCGGCAGAAATATATTACACAAGTAATAACTATTCAGATGTTTTTAATCGGCCTTTAATTAAAAACCGAGGCCTCTGGAAATATTGCGAGTTTGTTTATATTCCGTCAGTGCCAGCACCTACCAATGCTACAATGTTGTCAGAAGATAAAAATGCCAATGGAAACCAGGGCGCAACAGTTGCAAGTGTGTCGTCTGGTTCGTCTCCTCCTCCTGGTATGTCTTATAATGGTAAAGGTGGTGGTGGTAGTAATGGTAATATTTCCTCGAACATTCAGGCCACGTCTGGTGGTTCCACAGGGGATAGAAGTAAGCCTTGGTGTAGTCGGTGTCTAGAAATTATTTTGTCAACTTTTTAGGTCAATATTTTAAGAAACACTGTGCTTGCGGACATGGTTGAGGGCTAAGTTGTAAAGTAAAGTGTTCTCACCCTTGAGGGTTGTGGCACCACCAGTGTACATATAGGCTTAATAATGCAATCGTTTACAGTGTATATTTCATTTCAACTAATTATTTCAGTTATGCCTACATCAAATGTTCTTGTCACCTCGGCATTCCAGTTTTTGATTTTGGCCTACCCCTTTTTTTTCATATTATATTTTCTTGTGAAAAAAGGGAAAATTCTGGTAAGCAGCGAGGTTATGTTGGTGGTAAATCCAATGGGAGGGGGATGGTGAAAATGATGAGGTGTTGGTGGTGGCCCAATTTTGTGTTCAAAGGGGTGGCTCCAGAGGAAATATGGTACAGTATGTACTATATGGGGGTAGATAATAAGAAAGTGATCACCCCAACCCTTCCCCGGTGGCCGTCCTCTCAAAGCAGAGCATGTTGTTGGCCACTTGTGCCGCCGATGCAAAAAAAAACCCCTCTATGGGGAGGAGTGCCTCATTTTTTGTCTTCAAAGAAACCTTTAAAAAGAAATGTTCTTTTACTATTGGCCAATAATTGTTTATGAAATGGATATTTGAACATAGCAGTGGCAGATTCAAGGGGTAGGGGAAGCCTCCTCCCTCTAAATTGTTCAAAATAAAAAAAAAAGAAAATTATATTCAAATTTCAAATTTGAGAGTGCCATATTAAAAAATAGTTTTTTCCTCAGCCCTAACAATTGAGGGAGGTAGTGTAAACCTCCCATCTGTGAAATTGTGAAGTTTCCTTCTTGGGCCCCTGCTATTTAAAATTTCTGGGTCCACCACTATGGTGATTTTCACAAGAATTAATAATAATTGCACCATTATTGCACCATCCAAACATTTGGAAGTTTATAAAACAAAAATACAGGTACTATTAAATAGTATAGTGCAATTATGGTATAGTGTAGTATAGTGCAATCTTCTCCAAACCATGCTCTCTCCAACTAATTCTGTTCAACTACATTTTTAAGTTTGTTTTGTGAAAATCTGACCTAAAGAATGACAAAATATATTTCTAGTTGTGCTTGCTTATTGGTGTTTTTTATGGTAATGAGGTTTTGAAAAGCGTGTATTCTGAGTTTGGTTTGCTTCCGAATAGTATGGTATGCCTATTTACTTTTATGTTGCATTCCCAGCCTGTCTAAACATAATTATTATTCCTGTTTAATTATCATTGCCAAAATTTTAGAAAAGAGTGCACATTTTTTGTTATGCTAATTGCCTCTTTTCTTTCCTTGCAAATGATATATTTTGAATGCCAAATAATAAATTTAATATTTAATAATAATAATAATAATAATAATAATGATAATGATAATGATAATAATAATAATAATAATAATAATAATAATAATAATGATAATAATAATAATTATAAAAATAATAACTTTATTTAAAGTGCAAACAATATCCATTTAAAATGTTCACAGGCACTGTACAGAATTTAAAAAAGAGAAATTTACAAAAAAAATCAGTACTCAATATATCATTAAAATTTTTATAATTATTATTAATGTTTCCCCAAAATCTACCTTTAACAGTTAGCCCTTGGCTTGTCCCACTCGACCCCCAACATATAGTTACTGAATAGTTTTCCCGATTGTCATGCGCAAACTTGCGTGTGGAAGGCATCAGGAGACAAATTACCGCGCTGTTTTGACAGCAGAGTCGATAATCACCGGAAGAGCACATGTCACTTTGTCTCACTTTATTTTCCTCAATAGGCTTCTGACTTAATTTGCTCCTAAAATGGAACATTTAGACAGAAAAACAAAATAATAATATCGCTACATTTTCTCCTATAATTGAAGGAAATACAGAATAATATTATCGGTGGTTTATAATTTTCAGTTTTAACATGTAAATTATAATCAATAGAATTTAATATCCTCTTTACCTTGGATATAATAATACGAAGGTCTTTCGATTCTTAAAATCAATAAGTATGAAGTAAACTAGCCGTGACACTACATATCAATAGAGTAATTTAAAGCCCTGTGTAGACTCAAATTTTATTTGACAGAAACATGTGATATGCCTAAATATGGTCATGAGTACATCACATCATTACCATATATAGGCACATCATGACTATATATGGGCATGCAACAGTGTTTTATCAAAGAAGATTAAAGCTACAGTACAGTATGATGCTACAGACTTCTGTACAGACTATCAAATGTTATTTGAAAAAAACATGTGATATGCCTAAATATGGTCATGATGACATCACATCGTGACCATATATAAGATAAGATAAGATAAACTTTTATTTGTCCAAACATTAAAACATGTTGGGAAATTCGTTTTCCATGGCGTATTTACATACAAAATACTGTACATAGGAAAAATCAATAAAAAAACATATATAAAATACATGAAAATACATACTGTAAAATATAATTCTTATTAACAATTATTATCACAATTATAATCATTATTACAATCATTATCATTATGATCAATGCTCTGTATGAATGTTTTATTATATTTGTTATTACTACTACAACCATCATCAAATTATCTTACATACAAAATACTGTACATAGGAAAAATCAATAAAAAACATATATAAAATACATGAAAATACATACTGTAAAATATAATTCTTATTAACAATTATTATCACAATTATAATCATTATTACAATCATTATCATTACGATCATTACGATCAATGCTCTATATGAATGTTTTATTATATTTGTTATTACTACTACAACCATCATCAAATTATGTTGATGCATATTTATTATATAATCTAATTGAGTTCATTACAAATGAAAAATTGTGTTTGTTATGTATCGAACGAGGTGCTTGTAATCTCAGACCAGAACGCATAAATACATAGTGATTATGTAAAGGGTGGGATTCGTCCAGCATAATTAAGCTTTTTCCTAACATTCTCCCCATATAGAGCATTGATCGTAGTGATATCACAGCACCGTTCTGCTGACCGTCTTACTCTCTCAAACTTGTTCTTATTTTCTTTACTAAAATTTCCAAAAGTGCATATTAAACAAAAATTAAGTATACTCTGTATAACCGATCTATAAAAAAGTAATAAAATTGATTTATATAGGCACATTATGACTATATATGGGCATGCAACAGTTTTTTTTATCGAAGAAAATTAAAGCTATGATGCTACATATCAACAGAGTAATGTAAAGTCCTGTTATAGACTATAACATTTTATTTGACAAAAACATGTGATATGCCTAAATATGGTCATGATGACATCACATCTTGACCATATATAGGCACATCATGACTATATATGGGCATAAAACAATTTGGACAGAGCTTTACTGTAAGTGATGCATGAATTCCTAAAGTACAAACATTAATAAAAAAAGAAGGGAATCAAAATTTCTGGGTATTGGAAATTGACCATACAATTATTTTTGCAGCAATTTTATTAATTTTCCACTAATTGTATTTAACACAAGAATGATCCTCATTTTTCACTACATTAAATTATACTAGACACAATCAGAATATAATTTTCAGTGTATTTTATAACAGTTGGTGGCACGTTATTTATGTATTTTATAATGTAATGATTATTAATTAAATGTGTCATATTTGAAAAGGGTAATGCCCATTAAAAATGTATTAGTTTATCACCCTCGTGTGCATGCAGGTATTGAAAAAAAATATATATTTTTGAAATTTTTTTTTTAATGGAAAACTTTTTTTTTTAAATTTTTTTTTAGTAAATACAGTAGTATATTGTTTGTATTATCTTAATCATGTTTCACTTTGAATATCAATGCACCAGCAAACAACCCAAGGGTTATATTTGGCTTTAGCAAGATAATAAAAAGAAACTCCCTCCCTCTTCACTTTTCCAGCCTAGGTAGGGTGATGAATTAATAATTATTTTTATAGGATCTAACAGACGAGGATGATGTATATCATTTTGTCATTTAAGTGTTTGATTTTAAGGTCTTTGCAAATATATAGTCTATAATTGTAGTGTAACCTTATTTGTATCATCAGTATTTGTCCAGATATATATTCTGGTTTGAAGAATTGGTAAATTGGACAATATGAAATTTCTTATTGCCATTGATTTAATTATAAAATTGGGCTAATATCCAGGGGCGGATCCAGGATTTCAAGGAGGGGAGTTCAGAAAGTTCCCAAAAAACCCAAAAAAGAAAGGGGAATTGGGGGGAGTCCGGAAAAAATTTTATACCTAGAGGGCCGGAAATGACCTTTCCCGACTTCTGAGGTGTCTTTTAATGACCTTTTAAGTTTTTCAAAATTCTAGGTTTTTCCTCTCTTGAAAAATGTCAGGTAATTTTACCTCATTTTTAGGCCTATACATAGAGAAAAAAAAATAAGACATAGGCAGTAAAATTATAACCTTCTAAGTATTCTTACAATATTCAATCTATCTTTTAAATATTTAATTACTACTTTATCTATAGTATAATTATAATAACTATTCAAAAATATGTCTTTAAATCATGTAAAATTAATATCTTAAAAAACTAATTGTTTTTTTTTTCTTCTATTTGTAGCTTATTCCGTTTGTAGAAAATACAACACAAGTGTTTACATCCCTGATACTTTACCAGCTCTATGCCAAGCATATTATAATGTGTTGTCTCGTAAGTATGCTTTAATGTAATAGGTCTGTGAAATATTAGTTTTTTATGTCTAAAAGTAGTCTTGCATAATCACAAAATGATTGATTGATTGATTAATTGGTAGAAAACAATCCTGGTGCTTAGAATTAACCCTCAAATTGGGAGGTTGACATTTTGAAACATCAAGTTCCATTATAAACATTAAGATCTACGTTATTAATTAAACTTATTGGAGATAAATATCTTTATACATCAAGTAGGTAAACACTTTAATTTGTTTTTAATTTAACATACATTTGCGGAGGCAACCACCAACCTAGCTGGATAGATTTATGATTTGTAAAGAGTAAACCCCTGGGTACAAATGCCAATTAAAATCAGCGAGTAACAAATCAATCCATCCACGTTTAGCAGCCCGAGGCAAGTTTACACACCCGCATCATATCTTTCAATTACATGTCTGTATTGAAACACTCCACATGTGTTATGTAAGCTGATCGTAGGGCTGATTCCATCGTGTGCAAATGCCTCCGTTGGGAGTGAAGACATTGTTCAGTTGAGTGCACAAATTATCTTTTGAAATTAAGTTTAAGGAATCTTTCCAACTACATCAATTCAATGGATATTAAGGAAATGTACATCAGCAACTTCAAGGTTTAATAAGAATACAATGGAATATAATTATGAACTCACAGGAGGAGGGGAGATTCATAGGAGGAAGGGTAATTCTCAGGGGGTAGGGACATTTACAGGGTATTAAAGACAATAGGTGTATACCACTGTATGGATAATTGTGAGAAAGGTTTGTAAGATACATTATTTTTGTTTTTGAAAAAAATGTTCAATCCATGTAAAGGTTGCCAAATAACAAAATAATTTGAACTTTAAACAAAACAATATCTAGAGGGAAATGCCTGCAGAAACATACTGTGTTTTTTTTATCATTCATTTCAAGAACAGTAAGGCAAGAATTTTTGTTACACCTTATTTAGCAAACCCGCCGCCCGCGAATAGTCATAATTTCAAATAAAATACATTTTTTTTTCACCAATTTGCATACCCGTCGCCACGTAAAAATGAAAACTTCAGAAAATAATACAAGTTTTTCTTTATTTTTATTATCCTGCCGCTGCCTTGAAATCTCCAAAAAAATAAGATATGCATATTTCTTCCTAATTATATAAATTTAAAGCATTTAACCATCCCATTACTAAACTGTTTGCATTTACCAATAAAATAATATTTTTAATTTCTCATCCATCTGGATGTTTTTGGCAAAACTATTTGCAAAATAAGAAAACAAAATTTTATTTTTATATTTTTTTTTCCACCCTTCTCTGACAATCTTTTAAAAAACAATTTTCGCGAAAGGTAGCCAAATAACAAAACTTAATAATAACTTTGAACTTTAAATACTATAACAATACGTAGAGGGAAATGCCTACAGAAAATCATTTGTTTATAATTCAATTTTAAAACCGTAACTTGGATTCTTGAACAAAAAAGTCTTGCACCTGACTATTTGCCAAACTTGACATCTTTGAGGCAAAATGAATTTCTTAAGATGACCTTTGATTCGAACCCACAATCATTTGACTGGAAGCCAAAAGCCATACCAAAATGCCACATTATATCATGTCTTAATTTATAATAAACTGATATCAAAATGTTCTTTTAAGGATAAATTTTATAAACATGAGTTGTATTTAGTTTGATTGAAATGATAGTATTTAATTATTTTAATTCCATATAGCATCCCTCATTATTAATCAATCACAAAATTAAATATATTGTATTAAATATAAAATTAATAAATAAATTTGATTTCATATTGCACCTTTAATACATTTAGAAAATCCCTAAAGTGCTTAACATAACTGCTGTATAATAGATGCAAACTGTACCTTAAAAGTATCCTAGCTGATGATTTCCATGTCAAGTTAAGCTTTCTCAAGATTATCAAATTTTCTTCGACAAAAACTGTTGTATGCCCATATATAGTCATGATATGCCTATATATGGTCATAACATGATGTCATCAGAACCATATAAAGGCATGTCACATGTTTTTGTTAAATAAAATTTGATAATCTGGGCAGGGCAGAACTCTACATAAGTAATCGAAAAGGATAGCGTAGAGTATGTTATAAACAGGCCACTGTCATCTAGCTTCAGTGAATTTATTTTATGTGACGTTTATAGAGACATTTAACTCAGTGAGTACTACAGTTTACATGTCATTTCATGTAATTCCATCTCCTTAAATTTTCCTCATTTTATATGTCACATGGCAATTTTAAAAACATGAAAAGCTATGTACAGTATAAACAAAGCAAAAATGACAACAGTTTTACATCTTCCCAGCCATCCCGCTCCTCCCCTCTAAATTTTTTAAAATTATAAATAAAAATTTGGCAGAGGTAGTCTGTGCCCTCAATATGTAGACATCTCCACCTGGGTGCTGATGTTTGATCCAGATAAATAAGAAATTCAATTTTTATATCTTTTCATATTTTTCACAGAGGATAGGGTATGAATTTTATGTACATATCTTGTGAAAAAAATAGTAGGTGAATTAAATATTAAGTAATATCATTGTTGCGATTGTCTTTGTCATTTCAATGAATGACAACTAGGAAAAAAATAATGCAAGTTTAAAGTAGAAGACAATATAAAGGTTCTTTTAAATTATCTCTAATGATTCATTGACTTTCGATTAATTACAATAATCCATAAAAAGTATGAATAAAACTATGTAACATAGTAGGTGAATTAAAATTAAATAGGTTATCATCATTACAATTGCTTTTGTCATTTCAATGAAAGATAACTAGGAAAAAAAATAATGCGAGTTTACAGTAGAAGACAATATTATTGTCTTGAAATTATCTCTAATGATTCATTGACTTGTTTATTTACAGTAATCCACAAAAAGTATAAGTAAAACTATGAAACATAGTAGGTGAAGTAAATAAGTTATCATCGTTGCGATTGTCTTTGTCATTTCAATGAAAGACAACAACTATAAACTTGTAACCATAAACTGGTACATCACTATGGATGGCTGCTTGTACATTACATGAGCTGCTAGTATCAATGAAAGATTGAATCAAATACCCAAATGCTCTAATAGTAAGTAGTGATATAAATAACCGTCAGTGTTTGCACTAACATCGATTTTCATGGCTCGGTGAAACATGCCAATGCATCTCACAGCCTAGTAATGTCGTAGACGATTCGCGGCACAAAGTTCAGAGTAAACACACGATTGTTCTTTAGTATCGTAAACTTTGGTCTAATTTCGACTTAGGAATATGCAGATAGAATTATCTACAAAAAAAGCGATAAGTGTTGGTTCAGATTTTATATGTAGGAACTGATCTGATAATTCTGAAGCCACTTCCAGACTATCAAATTTTATTTGACAAAAATATGCGACATGCCTAATATGGTTATGATGACATCACATCATGACCATATTTAAGCACATTATTACTATATATGGACATATAATCAGTTTTTTGTCAAATAAAATTTAATAGACTGGACAGGATTTTTCATACATAAATATATGTACAATTTGATATCTAATTTCTTATGCATGTCTGTGAAATGGAACTAAGAAATAAATTTATGTTATAGTATCATAATTCTATTTTGTAAAGCCCTAGACAAAACAACTTGTTGCCATTTTCATTCTTAAAGCAGGCTCATGAGAACATCGTTGTCTCACCTGTAATAGAATATTCTCCACTATCAGCTTAATAATTATTTATAGTTTTTGTGAATTATTGTCTGTATAAAATAATAATAATATATCAAATCTGTACTGTAATTCTTGCAGGGGTATGTCTGTATTATGTGATTTGGAATAAATATTTTTTTTTTAACATTGGCATCTTATTTCATTCTTTTTTTTTTTTTTTTTTTTTTTTTTTTTTTATTCTGAAATACCTTTTCCCACATAACTGAATAAATATGATTGTAGTTCTGTTTAATCAACAATAAACCAAGCACAGTTTGATGAAAACTTTCTGCGAGCTTTCGTTTATATCGTCAACATGACTTCGTCAGGCTTGGTGAGCTAGCATCCGTTAAAATAACGGAATAAATATGATTTTAAATGAATTAACATTCAAGACAAGCATCTATCTTGGAAATCGGAATAAAACCCACTGAAAAATATGATTCCTAAGGCCATACCTTTTTTTGTACCGTGTTTAACCCACCTCCCTCCAATAATGATGATTTCAAATGAAAATACAATTTTGTTTTTGGCAAATAGCGTACCGACCACCACAAAAAATGGAAATTTCAGAAAAAATGAAAGTTTTTCTTTATTTTTATTTTGCCTGCCACTGCAAAAATGTTAGTTTATGTATATTCTTCTAAATTTAAAGCATTTAACTATCCTATCTGCACTGTTTCTTTTTTTCACCAGTAAAATTGTGTTTTTATTTACTCTTCCTTCTAGAAGTTCTAATAGCAAAACCATTCAAGACAAGCATCTATAAGAAACCAAAATGTTTTTTTTTTTCACCTTGCTGTGATCTTTATAAAAAAATATGTACAAAAAAGTTTTGCATGATCTACATTAGGCCTATCGCAGTTAATTGTAGGTAACTATTATTTAGGTCAATGCATATATCGCAGTCTGTTATTCCCTCATTACCTAAATGCGGTAAATACAGTATCTTGAATAGACATGCGACTTCGCTGGCAATGTGCAGTATAATTTCTATTATTTTCAGTAATTTTCCATTTCAATAATGGTGTGGTGTCAGTGTATCTCGTATAATCTTAAAGTTATGGAAAAACACGACTGGAAACAGGTTAAACGACAAGTAAATGCAGGCCCTCAGGTATATGATGGTGTGATGATGTGTAATGTATAGGGAATATGATGATGCCATATTTTTTTTTTCTTATAGGACTTGTGTAAAAATACACCTACAGGAATAATTTATAAGCTTCCAGGTATTCGTTAGGATCTTTCACATATTTATGCCGTCTTCAAATCG